TGAAGGTCCCATGTTCGATTCCATTCAAGGTCATGTACTTTGGTTGCAGGCACATCCCCAGTGGTATATGTGCAGGAGGCATCTGATCGATGTTTCTCTCTCATCGATGTTCCTAACTTTCTTTTTTTTATCTTTTTTTTTTACTTTATATAGCTTTTGTTTTTTTTTTGTTTTTTTTTTATTTTTTTTAATTTTATTTTTTATTACAAAGGGTATTACATATGTGTCCATTTTTCCCCCCGCCCTAGACAGTCCCCCAGCCTCTCCTATTCCCCAGTGTCCCATGTCCATTGGCCATGCCCATATGCATGCATACAAGTTGCTTTTGTTTAATTGCTTTTTTTCTCTTTTCTATTATGTTGATTTCTGCTCTTTGTTATTGTCTCTTATTTGCTTATTTTGCTCCTCCTCCTCCTCCTCCTCGACCTCCTCGACCTCCTCCTCCTAGTCCTCCTTCTTCTTTTAGCTTTTGAAGGCAATGCCTGAAGTTATTGACTGGAGATCTTCTTTTCTAATACAGGCTTTCAGTGACAGGAATTACCCTCTAAGTATACATGTTGTGTTTCATTTTCATTCATTTCATCATTTCAAATACTCTCTATATTTTAATTTCTTCTTTGCCCCATGAAATATATTAGTTTCCAAATATTTGGAGTTTTCCAGATATCTTTCTGTGCTTGATTTCTTGCTTAATTTCAGTTTAGTCAGAGAACATATTTGTTCGGCTGGACTTGAGTCCTTTAAAATTTACTGAGACTTGTTTTATGGCCCCAAAGATGTGTATCTTGGTAAATGGTCTATGTGCTTAAAAAATGTGAAGAATGTGTGTTCTGGTGTATACAGAGTATTCTATAAATGCCTTTTGGTCAGATTGGGTGATAGTGTCATATCTTTTCTGTTTTTACTTGTTTTCTATCTGCTTGTTCTAACAATTCCCAAGAGCAGGGTGTTGAAATTTCCAACTGTAACTGTAGATTTCTCCATACACTTCTATTAATTTTTTTGTGTGTAGGAAGCTCTGTTATTAGCTGCACATGACTATTTAGGATTGTTATGTCCTTTTTTTTTCTTTTTTTTAAAGATGGAAACTTTTTAAAAAAATATATTTTTCTGATTTTCTACAGAGAGGAAGGGAGAGGGATAGAGAGTTAGAAACATTGATGAGAGAGAAACATCGATCAGCTGCCTCCCGCACGCCCCTACTGAGGATGTGCCCGCAACCAAGGTACATGCCCTTGACCAGAATCGAACCTGGGACCCTTCAGTTCGCAGGTCGATGCTCTATCCACTGAGCCAAACCGATCAGGGCTGTTATGTCCTTTTGATGAATCTTTATGAAATGGCTTCTTTGTCCCTGGTGAGATCCTTTGTTTAATATCTACTTTATCTGATATTAGTGCAACTGTTGCAGCTTTCTTTTGATTTGCATTTGCATGCTGTATCTTTTCCAACTCTGACTTTTAATCCATCTGTATCTTTATACTTAAAGTGGGTTCCTTGTAAGCAGCATTATACTTGGGTCTGTAAACTTGGGGAAGATTTATTTTACAACTAGAGGCCCGATGCATGAAATTCATGCAAGGGCCTTGGCCCTGGCCCCCTGCCTGATGCTTCTGTGTCCAGGGCCTCTGCTGCCTCTGCCTTGGCCCCCGCCCGCTGTGGCTTTGTCCTGAAGGAAGGACGTCCAGAAGGACATCTGGTCTAATTAGCATATTATTCTTTTATTATTATAGATATCAAGTGCATGATCTCCTCTCTGAGTCATTTTCTGTTGTACCTCACATGATGCCTCTTTGAACTCTGGGAAAGTGGGTTCTTGTGGTTTTCTCCAATCTCACAACCTCTGCCCTCTGACTGGGGGTGATGAGTGGACCATTTGATATGGTAATTGATAGATTTGGGTTTAAAGCTATCATCTTTCTGTTTTATATTTGCCACTTTTTGGTTCTTTTTCCTTTTTTGCCCTGCATTTGGGTTATGTTTAGATTGTATTGTTTTTAATTGACTTGCTAACTAGAACTTCGGGGCTCCTGTAGGATTTATAGTGGATAGTCTGCCATTAGGTGGTGGTATGGCACACTCCACACCTGGGGACACAGGACTGTGTGCTTCCTGAGCCCCCTCTTAGTTTGGGTTATTTTTGAGAGGTTCTTAGTATATGATATAAACGTCTTAATACAGTATTCTTTTTGCTTTAAACAGTTCTCTTTTTAAGAAACTCACCATAAGAGAACACTTTTACATTTACCTGTATGGCTCCCATTTCCAGGGCTCTTCACTTCTGTATGTGGAGCTGTGTTCCTGTCTTGTGTTACATTCCTTCTGCCTGAGGACTCTGTAATTGTGTGTGTGTATAGATCTGCTGCAGATGGGTATTTTCAGTTTTTGCATATCTGAAAATCTCCATTTCTACTTCACCTTGTGTTTGAAAGCTAACTGCATGTGAGGTGCCAGTGCAGAGCCCTGAGAAGGTGCTTAGCCAACCTTGTGGTGGACACTGGGGTAGGAGCAGGTCTGCACAGAGTTTGGGCAAAACCCAGCTCTGGGTAGAGCTGTTCATATTTGAGGATAAATAAACAGAAAGAACCAACACTATGGACCTCAGCAAGGTGTCCCAGGCTATGGGGAGAGGGAATTACACTGAAATGCAGAAGGCGAACTTACCTTTAAAAATGATTTATGGTTAAAATCAGAAGACAAATTTCAAAAGACTGGCTGGGAGAAGATGTGACTCCACAAACTGGAGCAGAAGGTCATTAAGAGTGAATGCACAGAGAGGACAAGATAATGGATGAGTTGTAAAGGGAAATGGTTGGAAACAAATGGTTTAGTTAAAATCCATAGTAGAAGCTATAGGAGTACAACTGATCACATGAAAAATAGCAGTGACGTTAATAGCAGAGAACACCCTTGAGAAGATGCCTGGGCATGAGAATAAACAGCAGACGTGCCTGTGGTGATGGAGTGAGTCCAGCCAAATGTAGAGGGATCCTTGAAGAGCATTTCCTGAGCAGAAAGACCAATATGTATGGAATAGTTCATGTTTGGAGCAAAATAAATGAAAGGAGACTCTTACCATATATCTTCTGAAAACATTTTTTAATTTCAAGATTAAAAATATAATTCTAGCTGAATCCAGACAGAATAAAGTAACAATAGCAACACCACCACCACCATAACTCTGCCCCCAGGGGCTCCCTGAGAAGGAAACACTATTCAGCTGATGGAATTTTCTGCAATGTGAAGGTTGGGGCAATGTCTGCAGATTTTCAGCCAAAAATGTCTGTGAGCTAAGACTTTTATACCCAGCCAAGGTGTGACTTGTGTGAAGGATACAGAACCACCTAAGGTTTATTAAGGGTTTGCAAAACATACCATCTACATTGCCTTTAAGAAAATGATGTTATTTCTGACCAAGAGATGAATAAAAATTCTGAACCTGAGGAAAATATGTCATTGTGTTTCATAGGGAAATAACCAGATACAGAACCATAATATAAAGATATTAGATATTAACCACAGAGTTACAGATCCATGTCCTTGGAAACCACCTAAAGAGCAATCTCGGAGAGGGATCCCTTCCATGTTGTGTTGGCTGGGATTCTTTGGTTATAAGGCATAGGAAAAGACTGCCCTTGAGTAATTTAATCAAGAGCAGGAATTTGTCATCCTAGCAAAGGAAGAAATGACAGAGGCCCCAGAAGGGCCTACAGCCAGAGTCAATAGGAGAATTTTCAGAATTACCATTTTTTCAGTGTATTTCTATATTCTGATGATAAATGCAATATCTGCTCATCGCCAAGTTCAAGAAGCCCCTCATGATGCCTCTGCCCAGAGCAGGGGCTTGGTGGTGGGAGTTCCTAGACTTGTCTCAGGCTCTCTGTCCAGTGACTGACCTGTGGGCAAGTCTGGTCTTGGGGAGAGGGTTTGATGAGCTGGCCCAGTCACATGCCACCTACCTGGCATGGGGGAGGGGCAGCTCTGTCACAAAGCCTTCCAATTCGTGCTGCCAGGAGTGGTATGGACACTGTAAAACTGGCTGTAATGTCAGCACAGATAGTAGGAGATGAGGCTGGGAGCTGGCAGTGTGGGCAAAAGGCAAAGGAAAGCATGTCAGGATATTACCAAATGTCTGCCTCTGTGATGGCATCATGGGTGACTTTAAATACTTTCCTGTGATGAGTGCATGCTACTTTTATAATGAGAAAATGGAAATCAGCTGAGGAAATGGTAATTGTGGAGGTGGAAACGTGGGGGATGATTTAAGTGAGGAGGGCTTACTGCAGACTGGGACTCAGGTTGCAGCTAGGTGAGATTTGGTGTGTGTGTGGATGTGGGCTGGACGGGAGTATGCACACGTGGAAACTGGTGGGAATGGGCCAGAGTGACTCCCTGAGACACATTCTCCACCCGTGGTGCACCGGTTAGAAACGCTTCCCTGCGGATCATTTCACTCATGTTCACATGTGTTTACTAACAGCCCCAGTGCTTCCTGTCAGCAGAAACATCCAGATGAATTGTTTTACCAGTTGGCGGTGAAATGATGAAAACATATCCGGGTTTCCTTGGGTCGCCTCCTGACTGGCCTATTTCTGTCTCACCATGCAGGTCCTCCCCTGAGCTGGTGGACACGTTGCTGTGGACCGCCCAGCATTGACGTGGCTGTGGCTGTGGCCCCCGCCCGCTGCTGAATTTGGATGTGTTGGCGGGACTCTGGAGCTCTGTGCAGCATTGTGTCCGTGGAAGTTTCGAGCCATTGAGTTGCGAAGAGGAGTAGACGGTGCTAGCGATGAGCTCCCAAAGCCACCCAGGTAAGGGGCTGTGGGCTGTCCTGGGCAGAAAGGAAGTCACTGCAACTACAATGTGTCACTGGGCGGTAGACTGTGGCCCCTGGTGGTCTGACAGCACCCGGTGCAGAGTAAATTGTCCTTGGGAAAGACACACTGTAGAGCCCTCCGGAGACTCAGGCCCTGCCTTTGCTGATTTGCACACTGACTTGAGTGGCAGACGTGTGTCCTAGACATCAGGAGACAAGAACGTTGCTTTAGCGAGGTGGGGTTCAAAGGTCAGTTTGTGATTTGGAGAGTTAATTTCTCACCCAGTTTCTTTGTTCCTGGGGCTCGGGGGGTGGGGGTGATTCTGTGACCGGGCCCTGCTGCTGGAGTGTGTTTTATTAGGCCCTGCACTAAGCATGTCACATGATTCAGTCTTCACAATGCCCTGAAAATCTCATCCTGTAGGGAAGGGGTGCCTTGTTCAGGGTCATAGTTAGTAAGTGGCTGAACAGGACTGGGAACCATGCTCGTGTGCCCTTGGCTTCAGAAATGTGTTGTGGGCACCCACTGTTAGGACAAGTCCCAGTGTAGTTGCCTGATGCAAGCCTGAGTCCTGCTTGCTGCCACTCCCAGCTACATGGCCTGTAAGAGCACTTACAGCAGTCTGTCTTGTGTCCATGTGGGAGGGGTGGCAGTGGCCACCGGACAGAGCTGAGCATCCTCAGGCACCCACACCCCTGTCAGTGGGGCTGGGGAATCCAGGTCTGTGCCTCTGGGACGGCCCAGAACCTGCACACACCCTCCCTCCCTTGGCCAGACTGGAGTTGTCTGAAACTCTGGAGGCTAGGATTCCCAGTTATATTTAGATAGGAAGGCTTTATTGATATAAATTATTCATGTATTGATTGATAAAATGTGTAAAACAAATTTAAGCATCTGGATCGAAGTGTGTCAAGCAGACCTTGAGGGGTGCCCAGCTCTCCCTCCCCATAAGGGAGCTGGGCCTCCTTCCCATGTCTGAGCACAGGGGCTGCATACAGGTATTTCAGTGGCGTGCAGTCATCCCATCTGTGGGCTTCTGTGTTATTTTTTTTTTCCATCTTAATGTATTATGAGCACTTTTCGATGTCAGTATGTATATAAATCTAACTTATTTTGATAGCTTGTAGATGAATATTTATGAGGTTGCAGCACTATTTATAGCAGCCCAAAACTGGCATTGGACAATTATATGTATAGTTTGTACTTGCACTTCTATAAGCATCTATCTGCACTGGATCAATTCCAAGAGGCAGAATTATTCCGTCAGTGGGCATGGTGGGTGTGCACGTTTAAAACGTTAAGTTTATTCTCAGTTAACTCTAGAACCTGTCATCTTATCTCTTGGTAACCCAGGTGTCTAAATAAAATACAATGTATTTCTCTTTGTTACCTGTGTCTTTGCCAAGAAGTTAATTGAATTTCCTGAAAGCGTTTCTGCCCTTGGTTTCTTGGGTTGAACAACATCTCCCCACCCGCTTATCATAACTTATCATAACCTCCCAAGCCTTCCTTCTCTTTAGGCTTGTCTCAGGGAGGAGAAGAGTGCTGCGCTGGCTTTCTCTCCCCTGAGAGTCTGCTTTTATATGTGGGTTATCGCAATTACTGTCCTGTCTGGCCTTGTGTGTTGTTGCCACCAGCTGACTCCTGTGGTCTCTGTCCCTCCTGGGGTTGGAGACTGAAGATGGAAGAGGGGCTGGAGCTGGTGAGGGCAGGGCTTCCTTGGAGGCTGAGCCTCCTCTGTCAGTGGTGGTGGCATGCTCGGGGCCTAAGCTCTTGGGTACTCCTGCTCTCTGCAGTGCTCAGGTGTCCTTCAGGAGCCACCTTTCCTCCCAGAGCAGCCCCTGGAGTTGCAGCAAGGGACCACAAACAGCGCTGGCCTCGCTGCAGGGGGCTGGGCTGGGCTGGGCTTGGACCTGCACCCTCCCTGTGTGTGGGGCTGTTGTCTGTCTTGCCATGTGGTGGGTTGATCACTAGAGATTGTTTTCCTGTCACTTTGATCCCATCAGATTTATATTTTCTTGGAAATTCCTCCAAGTTTTGGTCAGCTGAGCTATTCCCCACTGTCTAGCATTGCTATATATCCTTTTATATTTCTGTTTATATTTAGTGGATTTGGGAGGAAGAGATATAATGAATACTCACTTATTCAGTTTGCTATTTTGAATGGGAAGTTTCTTCAACCCAAGGAGGAGACTGTCTCTCTCATTCCCATGGACCTGCACTGCGCAGCCTCCCTGATGTGGGCCTCTCGCCTCCCTCATAATCCAAGTGGCTTCTGTCTGGCTGTGACCTGCTCTGCCTTGCCCCCTGGAGCCCTCACTGTCCCCCAGAGCCCTCTTCCCTGGGGCCCTCACTGCTCCCCCCTCATTGTCCCCTGGGGCCTTCACTGTTCCCCAGTCTCCACTCTTTTTTTTTTTTCCTGGGGCCCTCACTATCCCTTGGGCTTTCACCTTTACTGTCCCCTGAGGCCTTCACTCTTCCTTGGGGCCCTCACTGTCCCCTGGGGCCCTCACTGTCCCCTGGGGCCCTTGCTGTTGTCTCCTCACTCACACTTGCAGTGCAACTCGCCTTTGCCCTGATGATAAAATGACCTTTTTATTTGAAGTGCTTGATTTTTTCTCTCCTGTTTTCCCTTCAAACTCCCTCTGGTGGGTGAGGCATGCAGTAGGGTTTTATTGCTGTTCTTTATGAACGCCGCCAGAGCTGGGCTCTGGTTCTCTGACGTAAAACTGCTCACTGCTGGTTTTATTGCTCTGAATCAGTGTTTGTACTGATGGGAGCAGCCTGCGGAAAGGGCCTGAATTGATTTAGCCTCAAACAACTCCTCTTTGACAGTAAGAACAGTGGGACGAGGTTCTGAAATATGGTGCTTTTGCCTCATTCCATGTTCCAAACCTTTGCCTGTTGGGATGTGCTGGAACAGATCAGGATGGACGTATAGGACACAGGGCCCCTGCCTGGACAAGGCATCCCGAGTGAGAGGGAGGGAACTTGACCCGTGTGGGCCTGTCCTCGGGACAAGCCAAGGCTCCCTTTCCTACCCCGCCTTTGTTCCACTCCCATGTAGACTGCTGGCTGGCCTGTGAGCAGTGTGCTGGGACGTGGGAGCCTGGCTGGCTTACTGAGAACTGTCCCTCTGCAGCTTTCTAACACCACCTGCCCCCCACCCTTCGCACCATTTCTGCCTGAAGAAACACTTGTCAGTCACAAGGCTCATACCGGAGGGCGTTACGGACCTGTGTGTAGTCATGCAGACTTGACCCTTGATAGGAAACTGGTTGAGCAGGATGGAATTGGGAAACTCAAGTGTTCTATCTCCCCCTGCATCTCGGGAAGAGGTGTGTAACAGTGTTTAGTTATAAGCAAGTAATTATTTTAAGGGAAACTTGTATACTTAAGATCAGTGTTTTAATTTGGACCATTCTTTGGTTTCTTAATATTCTGTTGAGCCTGAAATATCCCCTCTGCACAAAAGCAGCTAAAAAGTCTTGTCAGCAATAGCTTAGTTGAGTCTTGATGTGGTTTGATTTCTTTAGATCATACTAAAGTTTTCATCTGGAGGTCTTCCTCGGGGAGGCTCTGCCCTGCGCTGGGCTGGCTGCCTCAGTCTTTGTACTCCTGTCTTCTTGTGCTTGATTTTGAGTCTGTTCATTGCAACCAGTTTGGCCACCAAGGTTAGTATATTTTAGAATATGTTTTCTTAAAAAGAAACATTTTTATGTCACTTAGATTGTGCTTTGCAATGACAGACTGTTCCAGGATACTACAAAGTATTAAGGACTTTAAAGAGAGAAAATGAATTTTGAGGACCTGCATTTAACATAGAGAAGACATCAATTCTAAGCTGCAGATAATAGGCAGGTTCTGGACCTAGTGAGGCCCTGGTTGAGAGAAGTGACTAACCTGAGAGCTGGAGGGTTCCTGGCAGGAGTGGGGCTGGGCCCCGAGGATACAGAGACGGTAGAACAGTCACTGACATGGGCTGCATGTAGGTGTGTTGGAGGGAAGACTGATCGGAAGGATTGAACTGTTGGGACAGTAGGGCTCTGAGCCTCTTGTGAGGCTTCCTTCTGTGCCTGATGGAAGGGTTTCAGAAATGCCCCTGAGCCTTCCCGCCCCAGGCCCTCTAGGCTGTTGAGGAGCCCAAGGGCCCATTTGCAGCTTAAGCTGTCACTCCTCGATTCTCCACAACATCCACGCTCTGGGAATTTAATCAGTCAGGATTTGTTCTGGAAATCACGGAGACAGAATGACTTCTCTTTCAACCTGCTTCTTTTTTAATCCTCAAATTGTGTTTTGTCTTTAAAAAACCACAAATCTTCAGTCGTTATGAAGAGCTCAGAACATTCACTGTCAATAGAGCATTGATGGTTTGTTTTGGCAATTCTCTGAAATCCTTATACAGTTTGTGGAGCATTTGCATTTATGCCCCTTTTTTTCAAAGCCACCATTGTGGAAATGCAAATTTCTGAGTTCTGAGATGCTGAATGTTGGGTGATTAATGACATTGAGATTTAAGAATGAGTTCCCGGATGGATTTGACATACAAACTCAGCATCAGAGACCATTGAGTGCAGCTTGGTGCCGGAACCAGAAGCTATAATTGGGGCGCCTGGCAGTGGGCAGTCAAAGCAGACAGGTGTGCAGGTGTGCCTCCCCCTCCCAATGCTGGGCTCCAGCAGGGAGTGCTGGCGCAGTTTGGGCTCTGTTTTACCGTAGGTGTTTAAAACTTGTAGTAGTAATACGTTTGTGTTGGTTATGTGCTTACTCCAAGTCAAAACCTGCTGTGCTTTTAGGCCATAATGAGTAGTGGCTTTGTTCTGGGTTGTGCTCTACAGTTATTTCATTTGTTTTGCATGATTCGTTGTATAGGGAGCTCCAATGCCATTATTCTCATTTTATAGCTAAATAAATCAGTAATTACTGCTATCCAGTGCTTAGCCAATCAAAGGCCAACCTAGAACCAGAATTAGTCATCTGTCCTTGAGGGACAT